GCAGGTTTGATTTGACCCAAGAGCTCGGCATCGAAATCCGGCTCGCCCAGTGGGGGTTCAAGAGAGCTCTTTTCGATCGTCGAAAGAATTTGCTTCAGGCATGATACAAAAGAATCAATACCTCCTAAGGTAGAAGTGCCACTAGCCAGAAGAGCTGGCGACATGGTGTGACTGTACGGTAAAAAACAGCGGAGGTATTTGAAAGCAGAAACAAAAGGGAGAAGACTTGAGCGGATGTTTAGACAGGGTTTGCGTGTGGTTCATTCACGCGTTAGGTTACCCGTCGCTTCGGTTAGTAGACCGAAACGCCAAGGGCTTTTTACATTATGTGTTACCCTGCTCAGGTTCTCATGATGAACCTCTCCCCTGCTCTTTTGGCCCCCTGATTATCAAGTGCAATTTGTTTGTGCTACAGGAAATAGGTCTGGGCACAAGCACTGCGGAAAAGATGCGCACTGTGTGATTAAATTAATCTGATAAACAAACCCCGGTCTTCCTCGTCCTCATCCTTCTCCCCTCCTCTCGGCTTCTTCGGAACCCATTATTCGCCAGGGCGGCTTCACGAACCGTCTTCCATCTATCCATCCCAGATGTTTATCCCTTGGACGGATGAAACCTGCAAATTCGCGACTTCCCTCTTTCAGCTATCACTAGCCTTATGTGGTAATTAGAGCTGATTTTTGGTTGGCTCAATTATTGTTATCACCTGTAAAAAGAAAGACAATTGCCTTACTAAGTGCGTGCACGGTCCAGGTCGCGAATTTGCAGGTTTCATCCGTCCAAGGGATAACGGTATTTATCAGAGATCACCAATTAAAACTGGCCAGGAACGCTTAATAAATTCTACCGATATTGGAGGAGGGGTGCCTTCCAACCGGAGGGAGCATCATCACCAGGATGGCTAAGCTTTCTGGAAAAACGTGTAGCCTTATGTAAAATTAATTCTTATCCATGAGTTAGATAGTCATATTATTATCTTTTGCACCACCATCTTCGGTCTCGATTTCTGGAGATGGTGGGGGTTTTGGCTTATTGACAGCGGCTATTGGGGGCCATTCAGGAAGTCGTCATCTTTATGTTTTGACGCGGCAAAGCTGTCTGTCCCTTGCAACCTGACCTCATTACGGAGTAATAGTAACCGAGTTTGTATTATGAAGAAGCACCAAGGTTCGAAATTCTTACCTCCTACACGTGATCAGTCAGGGAGAAGTAACGAGATCACAGGTTATCACTCGCTTATCTAATACTATCCGCACTCTAAGCTAGGTTAGGGTATGTAAATGTACATGTATGTACGTATATATAGGTATATAATATTGGCTTTTATAAAACTGCTAAAAGAAATAAACGATCTTTCCGGATCTCCAACCTGGAGTCTTAATTTATATTAATTTAATCTATATTCACTATCTCGAGAATCAAATTAACCTACATACAGTCTTACATACACCTTTAGTGAGAGAGATAGAGTGATATCTGTGACTGTGGCGGCTTCCGGACTAGTCTAAGTATATCCACAGCCGCGAATTCTGGAATTCAGTCAATACGCTAGCCTACTCAATATCGACATATATTTCTAGAGAAACGAAACTATAGCTATTACCTTGGGGCTAGGGACAGACCGGCTTCATGCGAAAATAGTCTTTGTTAGGGTTATTTAAGTCGTGGCGAGAAGCTTAGGTATTGGATCCCCAGTTTCTACCAGAACGAGGTGTGGGTTTCAGACCCCGGGCGCCATACATAATTGTGAGTTACATGTAGTCTCTAAGATTTATTCATTTCTTGTATAATGTATTAATGCCCGAATTTATTTTCCTGAACGAATTTCTTAATGCCCTCTTGTCATGGTACAATTCCCCGCGCGCCACACACTCGACATCTATCCTCACTCTAAAGCTGTCTTTTCATGCACATATTCAATTCCCCCATTCCAAAACTTATTGTGATATCACATCTAGGGTACCCAGGTGGATTATACCATCCATTGCTCGAAAAAGCGTTGATGTACATGAATATTTTGCTGATCACACACTATCACTCGAGCCTTGGCAATACCAACGTCTGAAACCTTCGATTTTTGTCAACCATATAAAACCTCCCCCCATTGATGTGCTACTTTCACAAAAGGGTGGTTTGGCACACTTTGGGTATTGATACCATCACTCCTGGTTTAGCCGCAAGTCCTTATGACACACTACTCGCGCGTTAATTAAACGGTCGGAATTTTGTATGGGGATTTAGTTGCAACGACTTCCGACCTTTTGGTTAACGAGTGAGTAACCTCTTCTTAAAATCATCTTTTCCTGGATTGGAGGATGTTAGCCGCTTTTTGTATTCATGTCTTGATCCTTCTCGAAGAACTGATGCAAACGTGAATTCCTCGAGCTGCTAGAACGACGTGATGCAATTGAAGTGATGATGATCTATGGTGACAGGACGAAGACAAATCTATACTAGAGAGTTATCCGCTCTAGCCACGTGTTCCTGCCCGCACTAACTATAACTACATGTATGCTCCTCCGCTGTCTCCGCTCATACGGGTTACATACATGTAGTCATAAAACAGGAGCTGCCCAAGCGACATGTTCCACAACCACCGGTAGGCCTAAATGTAAGGGTCCTGTAGGGCCTGTATAGTATAAACTGTCATGAGTAGAGTATAGGCGAACAGAGTGGCTTGATGATGTAATGGCCACAGCTACCACTGTACTACATGTTAGTGGAGTATATTACATCAGATATTACAAGCACTTCAGGTCCAGATACTCAGAGTAACGTACATCTCACGGCGTGAACGGGAAAAAAATTGGTGTAAGATGAATTTGGTCCGTCTGGTTGGTACTGTGAGAGCCCCGCGTTGAGAGATACATGTATTTCAAAAAGAGTTGTCTCGGGCTAGATGTTGGGTTAGATGTACAGTGACAGAAACATGGATAAAATGACTACCACAGTCTTTGGCAATGCCGTACCACTGCGGTAACACTACCGTTTACTTCGTCAAAATACGGAGATAAAGTGGCATATTCTCGCAATGCCGCACTGATGCGATATCAGTTTTACCCCCATTTCTGATACTGTAGTCTCGTTCCCAGACTGTTTTGTCTGCATGCAGCTACATCAAGCAAACACAGGCTGGGCACGAGACTAGGTTAGATGGGTTTAATATTAAACTTAGCGTTGGGAAAGCCTAATTAGGTTTAGTTCGAGACAACAAGGAGAGATGATGTAGTCTTGGCTTGTGCTAAATACCTGTACCTACATCCAACGTACTGGCGGCCTCAAGGCCCCACGGAAAATTGTACTTTTACCAACCACTCTACCCTCAAACAGTGAGGCAAGCCTAAAGTCTCATACTACATGTAAATACTACGTCCGCGCTGTGGAATATTACTTTGGGGACCCCTAGTTTCCGAAAACCCATCTAGATTCGGAACGGATTAGAGGATACTAACTTAAGTACTTGAGTTGTTTTAATATAAACTAATAATATTAGGAACATTTCCTATCCCTTAGGCGGTCAGCCCAAGTCAAAATCGTGATCAAACCAGATATGGTAGCTATGCTCTGATAAACGCAGTTCCTGTTTATCCTGTCCTCGAGTTTTTTCTCACACGCTAGAAAGCTCCACCTGTTCCACTAGAGACAGGGAGAGAATGAACAGTAATTGGGTTCAACTGAGCACATTCAGCCATATCTGGTTCGGTCACGATTTTGATTTGGACCGCCTAAGGGATAGACTGCGCTAAAGTGCCCCGAATGTCGGAGACAGAGGGGGTCGCGGGTAGAATGGTACAAAGTTGCCTATCTAAGCCTAGTTCACTATGAAATCAATGATTATTCAGCCAAATCCATCACAAGCCTGGAGCATCTTCCGGCGTAGATAGTCTCTGGCAGTCATTCCTTGGCACATAAATCTCGAACTCAGTCCCTTTTACTAGGTCAACTTGGGGGGGGGGGGGAGAGCGAAGGGGATTCCGGAAAGGGGGGGAAGGGGGAGGAGGTGCCGAAGGCACCCCAATATCGAGTACCCCACGATTATTGAGGAAAAAGTTAATATATATCAACATATAATCCATAATTATTCGCAAGGTAGACTTCAAAGAAGAGCAGAAACATTCGGGGCCTAGCCAGCCTGCTGGCAACCAGTACCTTTTTATGTAGTAGGTTTATATACCAGTTTAAGTAATAATTGAGGTCAGGCCTGGCGGCTTAAGGGATAGTGTAAGCGTAAAATTTCGACCATGCTATTTGCGTAAAACCATGCCATCCATTCAGATACAATTAATGAAGTAATCAATCAATCAAATGCCATCTATTCAAGCGAGTGATATGTCATGACCCATCTAAATAGTATAATCTTCCTCCTTGTGGTCAGGAAGCATTATGATTGGTTGATTTTCTTCTACCAGGACTGCTATGCAGTGTAGATAGTGGACAAAGAGCCACTCCCGAGTTCGGAAGGGATGCGACATCCACTTTCATAGGTAGGTAGTTTGTACTGACTATTAATATAGATCTATAGATATCATGGATGACTGGCTTCGTAGATAGAATGGACATTACAATATCCACTCAGAGGTTATACATAGATTAGACAGTATATTTCTCTCTCTTAGGCTTAAGCTTTAGCGAATTTGCGGCCGGAGGCTGCATTCCACTTGTAGAGAATATTATATGCAATGAAAAACACATGTAGCCCACTTACATTTGAAGATCGCCACTTTTTTTTTTTTTTTTGAAAACTCCTACCATAATCCGATTTTTCTTTTTAAAGAAATACATTTACATGTACTTTGTCATCATACTAACTCATGATCGGATCGCAAATGAGACAACTATCTAAACAAAACAAATAACGAACCAAGGGATAGAGAGACAATAGGGGAAAAGAGATATAATAGAAAGGAAGCTAGGTTTAACGCTAGACCCCTCGGATGAATGCTTTCCTTGGAAAGAAAAAAAAGCCGTATTAATGTTCCTCCACAAACCAAACCTTTATTTTATTGATGCCCATTGACAGGCATGCCACCGACAGCCGCAGCCATAGCGTCAGCAGCCAATTTTTTAGCCTCAGCTTCGTGAACCACACCCTTGATCACATTTTGTTCATCTGGACTCAGACCTTTTGTGAGCCCTTCATAGATCTGGGGTTGCTGCTGTTGCAATTCTATAAAACGATTAGCAAAGAAAAGATCGCTCAATTTTGAAGATAGAATATACATACCCAACAATGCGTTTCTGAACAATTGGTAAGGTTCAATATTGTCCAATGGAGTCTCCAAGAGAGTTTCCTCCTCAAGATCATCATCCTCATCATCCCAATTGGCGGACAAAACACCCCGAGCAGATGCCTCATTATTCAGGAACTCCATATATGCACTACTTTCATCTGGTATATCAAGCTCATCGGCTAGAAAATTTTCATCAGCAGATTGCTCGAGAGAATTGAACATTAAAGAACCATACCATCCTCACCCTCCTTGTTCCATGCTGCCTCGCCTTCCCACTCGTTGTCACTGTCAGATCCGTATGAATCGTCAAGTGTTAGGCCTTCTTTTTGAATTTCCTCACGATTCTTCATAGCCAAGGGCAAAGATTGAAAGAGTGGTACGATTCCCTGCATCAACTTCGGCCAACCCGGCTGGATGCTTTGAGGAATCTGCTCTGGCGTAAGCTGGATCAATGCCACAATCGCCACAATCGAAAGCTTCTTGTCGTGCACCCTGTTGAAATTCTCAATATTTGAAAACCAAAGACTGAAAAATTTGTTTGTCCAACCATTCCTCTCGAGGATCTGTAAGGTAGCGGCTGGGTTGTAGTAAATGCAGTTGATGACCATTTCCATCAAATGGATGCGGTAAGACTTGATCTCGTTAGGTGCTGTAAGGCATTGCATGGCAATCTCAACAAATTGAGGCAAGTATTGGTCAGCGTGTCCCCGAAGATTGAGCATCACAGCCTCAGCGAGCTTGCACCCGCAAATGCGGTCCATGGCGCCTAGACGCTCGTTCGTAAAGATCTAGAGAATTTGTTAGAATCCCCAAATTGATAACTCGATTGGATTGATTACAGTTGAAATGATATCGAACATTGCTGCCAAGTATGTTGGGTTTTGAATCAACATGTCGGAACCGTATGAGATGTAGTTGTCTAATGCGGGAAGCATTTCCTCGATGTATATCTCCGCACGGTCCTTGAAAGACTTGTGGATAAGTTCAAATACCGCCCACATGGTACCCGAGATTGCTTTGGCAGAGAAAGTGCAACTATCAATAATTTCAAAGACCTCGTTATACAAGTCTATCTCGTTCTTAGTAAAGGAGTCTCAGATTAAGTATTCTTGCACCTACCAAACAACTTATGTTCCAAAGTGACTGTAATGACTGGAACAAGAACTTGCTCTAATTGCAACAAAACTCCGGGAGAGCTTTCTAAAGTCAATATCAGGGTTCCAATGGTCTGCAAAACCCCAAGAGCTGTGATGCTCTTGTCATCCAGGTAGTTATCAACATCGTCATCAATAGAGTTAGCACCCTTGTCAATGACATCTTGGATGATCCTGAGATAAGTGTCTCTCTAAAATCTTGTCAGATTTTGTAACACGAAATACGAGAGGTGATACCCACCAGCTGCTCTGTGAGCTGTACTGCAAACGGTGTCAACTCTGAAGCAAAAACCTCAACGAACTCCTCCATGACATTGGAAAGCGCGTCCACGTCAACCTCATTAGCAAGCTGCAACAGTTTCTGCATAATATCCGCGATGCTCTGTTGCATGGATGTCCGAATGAAGTCGTGCCTGATTAAAGGTTGTAGGGCCAACGCTGCTTCAACCCGTACAGGTAATTCAGCATCGTTGAGACATTGCAAGATATTCTGGTAGATAACAACGACATTCTAAAAAGATAATTAGATCCACATACATCAATTATATAGATTGAACTTACATTCTCATCCCTAAAGTCAAGATCGGAGAATTTCTCAAGCACGTCGCACGCACGAGCTCGGAGAAATCCATGGCGGCTCCTAAACTCGGGGAAAACATGGCGAACAAAGAAATATTCCACCTGATCGGCAATAGGACTGCCCTTCCCAAGGATAATAGCAGATAAGGTTCCAATCATTCTTAAAGCACCTTCCTTTTCTCTGTAATTCTTCTGGTCATCCGGAGCTGCCTCATACCGGTTGACCACTTCATTAATAAAGTTAAGAACCGTAAATGTCTGCTTTCGGCGGGCCTTGCTAAGTGTGTTCAAGAAATTTGTGGCAGCAACATCTGGAGCTGATATTTCCTCGTATAAGTTAATCTTGCGGTTCAAGTATTCACCCGGATCTGACTCAAAAGTCTCGAGGTCCTCATCTGTTTGGCAAAGTAGGGGGAAGAGAACATGAGAGATCAAGTTCTCGACGTGGGGGCTCAAGTGCTTCCATGTTGCTGATGGTTTGATACTTTAAAGACTATTTAGCTCCTTTCTTGAAGTTCTATTAAAGGGAACAAACCACTCATCCATAAAAGTAATAGTGCATGAAAGGCAGATCTTGCTCAACCACGCTTGCTTCGAAACCCACAGCTCAATCTGCTGAAGATATGCCTTTAGAATCTCTGGCGCAAAATGTTGTATAAAATGCTTAGAGAATTTCTCATAATTTTCTGAGTTATTTGTGGTGATGCTGGTAGGGTTGCCATATCTTTTAAGGGCCATGCAGGTCAGAAAAGCATTTTGGCGAAGAAAAATAGGGAATGAAAAAAACATACCTCACAAAAAGCCTGTTCAGATTTGAGTAGGCCCACTTCTTGGCTTTCCACCACGGGTGAGCCTCCCGGTCTTCAATATCCTCAGGCATGGATTCTGGCGGTGCTTGTTTCCCTACAACCTTGATAAACAAGGTTGCCCAGGGGACAATTGAAGATTCCTCCCGAAGATGAGCCGCCAACTCGAACTATTCGCCTCGGCCATTAGCTTTATGCCAATTAGTTTGACAAGGGTTCAAAACTCACATATACAGCATGCTTGTATGTTTTAATAATCATCTTTAACATGTCACCTGCATCAGTGCTAGTCTCGTCCACCAATCTGTTGCCGATGGCCAAGAGTGTGGGGAAGGTCGCTTGGGTGACACGGTCCAATTCTTCTCTCTTGTCGTTGGCTTGCTTAAATCTGTAAACGCGACAAAGCGAGAGCAAGCATTGCACACCCGCAAATACCGACTGGATATCATTCGAACCAAGGAGCTGCAGGGTAATGTCCATGTAACCAGGCCATTTTTCGGGGAAGTCATAATGAAGGACTTTCCCAATCAACGGCATAAGCTGCTGTCGTATCGGCGAGGCTGCCGAAGCAAGGGTTGGCACGAGCCGTTCGCGGAATGCTGCCTTCTCATCTTCAGAGATGGGCACGTTTTTCGGGAACTCCTCGTTGAATTCCCAGGATCTGATAACTTTGTTTTTCAGGTACAAGACAGCTGTCGAGGGTAAGAAAGTGGTCGTCAGTTAAACTACTAGGAATGGGTAAATATTCGGAGAAGGGAGAGGTTTGAGTTTCGGTGCGATACCAGAAAGGCGAACCTGTGGTTCAGGATCTGCTGCTATGATATCCAGAAGTGCACCGATAAAGCCAGGTGTTGCTTCCGCCTGTAGGTTTCGCGTTAGTAAATATGAAAACTCTCCCTTGTAGAAATGTAAAGGTGATCAAGAACCTGCTTCAGCTGCAGCTCGGCTTGTCGTCGAATGTCTGCATTTGTATCTAACGCTGAGAGTGTACACCCACGGAGAGCTGCGAGATCCATGGCTCTTTTTTTTATACTGATATTTTATGTAGAGCAGAGTGGTGGGTAGTTCAAGGAGATGAGAGACAATATTGGCTTATTGAGAGAAAAAGGATTTTCGAACGAAGCCAGGGCGGGTGGGGGGGTGGGAGGTGAAGCCCAAGTAGTGTGGTGTGTGTAGTCGATCCACAGAGGAGATGGGCACTCACTCGAAAGCGTAGGCTTTGATGGCGTGCAGAGAAGCGGCGGGGATGTGAAGAGAGGGGCAGTGGAGGGGCGAGGGGCACATTCAGATCAAAGGGACCACTTGAGAAAAAAAAGAGCGTTGCGGAAAAATGGTAAAAAAAAAAAAATTGGGCGAAAAAGAAAAAAAAAATACAAGTGCTAGTAATCACAGCCCTAGCGATAAGTAGGGCTCGATACTATATGTAGATAGGATGTATGTAGTGTGCGACGACTACCTAGCTAGCGAAACTAACGAAGTGAAAATGGGAGGGGGGAGTGGAGTAGGGTTGAAACGTCAAGTAGACATCCTCTGATTATTTTTAAGTGCTCCAAACACTCCTCTACAATAACGTAGCTTTACAGCTGTCTTTCCAGCGGCCCTCCAATCGTCGCCATCTCTGAATTAGGCATGCTACAGAAAGTCTATGATAGGTAGATGCCAGCATTTCCATGACATGCCATGCTATGCCGGCAACCCTTTCTTTTCTTTTCTTTCTTTGTATTTACTCTAGCGGCTTCGCGGGGTAAAAATAAGAGCCTCCCGCATCGGGAACCTACACCAACACGATCTAAGCCTTGGCAAGATGCTGCACATCAACAGAATAGCATCCTTAATACTGGGAGATAATTCCCTCCTAAGTCACTACGAAACTATGCTCAGATCCTAATTTATAACGAACTGTACATGCTTTGATTTCCCGCATAAGGTTCCATACTAACAAATGCTGCGTTAATGATGTCAAAAGATGTTTACTAGGCTATAGTTAGCATTGTCTGTAGATTAGTAAATATGTGAGTAGACAGATGAGTACTGACCAAGTATAGCGAAGCGCAATGGCAAACATCCCTCTTAATCAACTCCTGACACTCCTGCATCTTTGCAAAAAGTGATGGATCACCTATTATCCTCGCCGAGTTTTTAACCTCTCTACACGTCTCATCTAATCTGGTGATCACTCTAACAATAGTTCCTTCAAGGACATCTGTGAGCTCAGTTATTTGGTTGAAGGACATTCCCTTTGCCCATTCATAAACTACTTCCATAAGAGCGAAGCGCGGTCTCGCTTCAAAGTCATCACTCTCCGCGTTTATCAATACTTGGTGTTGTATTTGAATCGAGTTGACCTTTTTCGCGATTTCGATTATCCTAGCCTTGCCTTTTTCAAGCTTAGGTGTGATTGTTGGTATAACGTCTGTCTTTTCGCTAAATACGAAGGCAGAGAGAAGGGCGACGATTTCCTCGGGTTCGTATTCCGCGAGAACATTTTCCAGTACTAATTCTGTCAAGACGAGCTCACTTGTTGAATTGACCTTTGCAATATTAGCTCTAAATATTTTAGCCTGGTAGAAGATAAGGGGAGATGACTTACCTCGCAGGCTACCCGTCCTTTTAGTAGAACATTTTGGTTGTCATCAATAAATCCCAATTCCTTCAATACCGAAACTCGTTGCCCATAATCGGGTAAAAGTTGTAAGTTCTGATCAGAGATCAATTGTTTCAGCTTGGAAATATTATCCTGAAGTAAAAATTCTTCGTGTCGCATAGCAAACTACAGAAAAATGTTAGCCGAAATTCACATCAGGAGGCCGGCGGAATACTAACGTGGGTAACAAAGTTAGGACACGAAAGACATGTAGAGTTCAATATAGTTGCAGTCTCCTGTTTCTTCGATTGACGAAGCTCAATGAAAGTCATATCATTAATCTTACTCCAATCGCCTTCGATCCATTCTGGTTTTTTCCAATCCCCAAGCAAATCTAGGAGCTGTGCCTGTAATCCTGCGATTGCTAACTTGTCTCCACGACGAACTGCCTGGGAATCAAATTTTATTATAGTTTTTGAAACCCACTCAATACTGAATACTGGAATGATGAACTCTCTAAGTTTCCACTCTTTTGGGGGAGTATTGGGTAAATCCAGAGAGGAGCAGGCCGGAAACGGAATCAAATCACCTATTTATATGTAAGTAATCTATGACAGTTTACTATGAATCTAATCCCGTGACCTACTGGAGGATTTTTTGTTGGTGTCAGGTTTAAGCCACAATACCTGGAGCAGAGGGCGGGTGCCCTGAAGTATTCCATCGTTCAGGAGTACGCCAACAGTCCTAGGTCCATTCTAAAGAAACTTGGTAAATATTACATCACCTAGATGTAGTTGGGGGCTGGGGAAACCAACTTCTTCTTGTATGGCAATTAGCCGTCCAGGAGTGAACAATCGCCTGCCATGGGTAGTCGCCAACGACCTCAGTAATACATCTCCCGACAAAACCTTTAGTCTGATGCAAGCACTATGACAAGCCTCAAGATCAACGCTACAAATCTCACAGTCTTCTTTTTTCAATTTTTTCAACCCCTCTTCAGACAAAGCAACCTGCCTTTCATGTTCGGGCATCATCGTTTGCGTCGTGTTCTCACTGAAGCTCCGCTTAATCATTTCTTCTATCTTTAAAGCTTCAACACGAAGAAGGTTGAGGATCATGTTGTATGTCAAGCGGAATTGACTTTGCAATTTCGTTGGGTCACCGAGGATCATGTGATTTAGCGTAGGGTACTATGAAAGGTCAGTAAGTCATCTCATAAAAGGGCCCTGTAGACTAACAGCCGGCGCTTCATCCATCGGAGAAACTATGATAACAGTTCCCTGGGGGTCCAATCCTCGACGACCAGCTCGACCAGCCATTTGAATATATTCCCCAGGAAGAAGATCACGGAATTGCTTCCCATCGTGTTTCCGGTATCCCGAAAATACCACAGTACGTGTAGGAAGGTTGAGTCCCATGGCAAATGTTTCAGTCGCGAACAATACTTTGACTAGTGTTTTTGCGAATAGAATTTCAACAATTTCCTTAACGATTGGCAATAATCCTCCATGATGTACAGCTAATCCCCGAGCCAAAAGCTCCCTCATCCTCCTGATTTGTGGTAGTTGTCGATCCTCAGGCTTCAGTCTTGCAATACTCTTCTCAATGATCATGTGGATGGCACTCTTCTCAGTTTGGTTGCAGTAATCTATATTGCTCAAGGCATCAGCATTCTCCTCGCATCTCCTTTTCGAGAAAACAAAAATGCAAGCTGGTAAGAGTTCTTCTTTTTTCAAGTGTTGTACGAGGTGAACCCAAATGTTCTTGTCTTGAGCAGCGGTATTGCGACCTCCCCTCCCACCCCTGGCTACGGTTCCGCTGCTTTGGCCGCGTTGCTGTGTCCCTCCACGACCTCCCCGTTGATTTGGGCCTCCTCGCTGATTTGGGCCTCCACGCTGATTTGGGCCTCCACGCTGATTGCCACCCCCACGTTGATTACCCGTGGGTGCTTGAGCTGGCGGTGGATCTTTCTTCCTCGATAACGCATTATTCGCATCTTTCCAACCTTGCAACAGGAACTTTTTGTCGGCGCTGACGATTTTATACATTGCTTTATTGGCCCAAAGGTAATGTTCTAGAGGTACCGGCCTTTTTGGAGTTGAAATAACGTAAATATCCTTTTTCTTCGTTCTTCCAACCCAACTTGCGAATTCTTTGGTATTTGGAACAGTTGCCGATAGCAAAATCAGATTTACATGGTCTGGAAGCATTATTATTACCTCCTCCCAAACCACGCCCCTCTGCCATCATAATTAGTGTTGAGAAATGTGCAAAACGATATTTAGTCCTACGTACCTCAAGATCGTTGACATAGTGGACCTCATCAAATATGACAAATTCCACATCCCGGATGATATCTGCACCCCTGTACAGCATGCTTCTTAAGATCTCGGTGGTCATAATCAAACAACTTGCTTCTGGATTGATTTGAACATCGCCAGTTAAGATTCCAACATCATCAAATACTTTTCTAAAGTCGCGAAATTTCTGATTGCTCAAAGCTTTAATGGGTGAGGTGTATATAGCCCTATTGACGTAGATGATATTAGCCTCGGCTAGGAAGAAAATAGACGAAAATGCTTACTTCGTCATATGTTTTGTAGCAAGAGCAATAGCATACTCGGCAACAACTGTCTTCCCTGCAGATGTATGTGCAGCAACAAAGACCGAATCACCATTTTCTAAATGATAAACAGCTTCCTTTTGAAAAGTATCCAACTCAAATGGCCACTGTGCAAACTTAGCTTGCGAGTCAATTTTATTAAGAGCTCTCTACATACTTCTTTTGCCATATTTGGTACAAGCTCGTGAAAATTGGTAATTTCTTTGTTCACATCGACCATATGTGCCCATTCTTTGGCCTTTGGCCTTGTCACTGCCAAAGGCAAGTTTCCTTTTGGTGCAAGCATGGGAAACTATCACAAAGGTTAGCTATCGAAGGAAGGATAGATTCCCCATACTCTGGGTGGAGGCTATACCTCAATTGGTAATAAATCATCGATACTGTCCAATTCTGCCAAAGGTTTCTCGGCTTTCTTTATGATAACATCCCCGGTCTCTTCTTTATGTCTTCTTTTTGGAGCAACATCACCGAATTTGAAGCCCTCTTCTTCCACGTCTACTTTTTCTTCGACATCCTCCGCTTCTTCATTCTCTTCGTCGTTATCCTTTCTTAGCTTGAGACCCCTGAACATTCCTGGTGCAACTTTTAGTAATCCATCTTTGCCAATTCTTTCTTCTACCAAGGACTCTTGTAATTCTAGTTCCTCTGGCCTCTCATTTGCAGTTCCAATATCAATGCCCCCAGGGCTGAACGGAAAGAAACCAGCCTTGCCTCTCACAAAATCGGCTTTAGAGGCAGGTTTGCGCAGAAGAGATGTAGAGTTTTTGGCTGTGATTGAGTGGGCGGGAACAGTGACCTCTCTATATCCT